CCATTGACACAGTACAGTAGCATGTCTGCCCACTGGATTGGTGAAAAGCACCATTGTACTTAACAATTAACTAGTTTGTTCTTACCTTCATTTATCTGGGCAGGGTTCGCCGTGGAGACGCGGTCTTACGCAATATGTCACATTCTTTCAGCTATGCAAAATTCATTCGTACTTCGCAGTCATCTACTGCTGCTGGCCACTAATGGCTCGCATTATGTGCTGTGCTCAAGGACAGCTAAAACATACAGCAGCTGCTATAGAAGAACATTAGTAATAGAATAACCCCAGTCTTCTGTGTAGGAATGTGCATGTTGCATTATCTTCATTATTTACATATTAGGATTTCTGTAATATTCAATAGTTATTACACTGTTATAAATGCAAATTAAGATGGGTAAACATAATTTTACCAACGATTTCAGTCAGTTTTGTAAAAAAAAAAAGAACTTGAGCTGTTTTGTCTGCCTGAGTTACACTAAGATAAGTTGTACTGGATATTTTGATCGTTCACTAGAATAACCCTGAATTCTGTCACATGTCCTTAAAATGCATTATTGGAGAACAACCAGATGTTTTATTGCAGTGGCACCAATGAAAAGAAGCCCTTTTGCTTTTGACTTTGTGTCAGAATAATTATGTTATGATAAATGTGGAAGGTTGTGAATTTGACCTTGTGAGGATTTATTTAAATGACAAAACTGTGCAGGAAGAATGTACAAATATGCAGCTCCATGGTGTCACTGGCCTGATTAATGTATCAGACAGTTTCTAAGATGCTGGCCACAAGACACTCATTTAACAAACCATCAGTTGTGCACACATTTAGATGCTGTCCCTCACTTGTTCCAGCTCATTTTAAGAAAGAGACCACTGTGAGTTTTCTTATTGTGGCACACGTGCTCTAGGTACACAGAAGAGGCTATAATCTCAGGATAATCGGCAAATCTATTTAATAAAACAATGATAAAAGGTTTGGCTTTTGGCAGGCCAGCCAGTGAGAGACCTTTCTAAAAAGACTGTTGAAGGCTGACATAAATACCAAGACCTTTTCTCCCATCAGCCAAAAATGCCACCATGTGATCTTTGACTAAGATATGGGAAAATCCTTCCTCATTTGCTGAGACTCCTATCTCTCTATTTCTCAACAGAGGTGAGGTCTAATCTTTAATTGATGACCACCAACAACAAGGTTGGTATGTGGATACACACACACATTTACAAAGAAGGGATAATGTGAAGAGGAAAAATTGGTTTCCACTGTCTTCACTGACATATTTGGAATGAAATGTTGAAAGACAAGCAGAGGGAACACTAAACACATAAACAGTAAACAGATACATGGCAGGAAATGGTTTAACACAGTTCATAAATCACAGCAGATCTTGTAGTCATGGCCTAAACATACGAGTCTGTCACATTTGGGTTCACATTACAAACAGTAATAACACAAACAAATCTTGAGCTGTACAGTATCTCACATACAGCATTTAACTTTTGTTTAACTCCTCACATAAGAAACTCTATTACACTTCAGTGAGGCTTCACTGCGGCATCTGCTGAGCTTCTGTTTAATCTTCAGTCCAAATCTAATCTCCACTTTGAACTGATCCCATTCGATTTTCTTAAAACTATACAGATCGAGAGTTAAAAATTTCAAAGGAAAATGTTGCTCTTAACTTTGTCCAGCTTATAATAAAGTCAGCCAAATAAGACAATAATAGTTTCAGTTTTTGACAACTCAACTAAACAACTGTGCTTTGTCAAGAGGCACGTGAAGAGTAATTTTCTCCAGGGGGTTGTACTCACATAGATGTTTCTCTTGTCCTGATTTCTTGACATACCAACTGTGTGAATTCTAGCACCGTGGTAGCAAGTTTTAGTCAAAATGTTGACCAGAGCTATCATCTCTGGCCCTGTTACAATAATAGTCTGTTGGTATGCTGCTGTTTGTGTTTATAAGTGCATGTATACATGTGTCACACGACCGAGAAGAAGTCTCCCATCGCACAAAGGTTTTTACTGGAACCTGACAAGATGCACACACAGGCACTAAAAAAAGCTCTGTGCCCCAGTTTGGGTCTCCCTTTCTCCTCTCTGTCTCTTTACATTGGGCTCCATGACGGTGATCTGGTCAAAGCGCCTTTACAAAGACTCCAACTAAGAGAAGCTGAAGCCAGTTGTAAGGGTCCAAGTTGACAGTGAAGGGAGGCGTGAGAGTGTGTGTGTGCCTGAATGTGTGTGGTGGGCGGGCAGAGGGAGGGATAAGAAATTGTCTGTGTGATTGTGTGACCAAACGTACCTTCTGACCCCATGTGTCAGCTCTGACATCTCAGGAAGAAGCATCCAGTGCTGAAACAACAGAGACAAACACATGAGCGAACATGGAAACAGACAGAGAGAAAAAGCAAACATCAAGCAACAAATACTTGAGGTGACAGTGAATTTGTGCGTAAGAGGGCCAAAGACAGTAGAGAGCAAACACTTGTCAGCATTTCTCTTCACTGCTGCCTGGTGTGGCAGGCATCTCAGGGTTTAGCACTATGTGACTGTGTGGTGCTAAAGTCTTCCAACATTATTTCATCACATTTCAGCAACTATGTGTAATAGACCCCCACCTCCTTCCCTTAAGGCAGTTCCATGCCTAAGGCTCAGCGGACAAGCTGAACTGAGGCAGAAACTATAGTCATAACCATGAGCCTGATATTTCCTGGTAGCGCTCAAGCTGCCAGTTTCTGTGCAGCCCTGCAACACTCATGGAAAACTAAAGCTCTCTGCTGATTTTGTTTGTTTGTTTGTGTGTAGGATTATGGATCTTTAGCCACTGTAAGTCTGTGGACTCACTGAGTCTGCTAGAAATGTTTGCAAACAAGTCGAATATAGGGGGACTTACCCAACAAGCCTTAATCACTCAGGGTTCTGTGCTCTACTATAAGCATTACTTTTGCTGCTTGAAAACTGATAAAAGTGATTTTTTATTATTGCAGTGAATTCTTTAGTGGTTATGCCTCTAATAGTTCACAGTCTGCAGAGAAAATGACATTAAAACTATAGTATTTATGGGACACACTGACTTAAAATTGAAGTAATAGATTACTGAGAAATAGTTCCTGGAGTTTGTGTACATGTTCATGCAGAGAGAAGCATGCAACACACACTAATGCTGTCTATCACTCTCTCCATCGTCTTGTGTGGTTTGCAATTCAGACTCTGCTTGGAGGACATAACTGAGCGGCTGGCCACCTCACCCACACCCTGGAGCCTTTCCTCTTTAGAACACATACAGCCATACATACGCAGCACCACCATCACCAAACACACACACACAGATTACTGAGAGACACCCTTTTCAAATCATGCTAAACCTTTAGGCCCAACAATACAGGCTGGACCTAATCTCTTAGCCCTTGTCCAATCAGAGGACTGGAAGCTGAAGAGTGGAATTGATTGGCTGGTGGCCACAGGGGCCAGTTAGGGGAAGGAGAACAAGGGGAGACATCCATTGTTGATTGATTACCATGAAAGACACTTTTGTTATCAACTCCAAGGGAGTACACTATGCCTGTATCAAGTGGAAACGTTAACGATCTCAAAATAGGTCACCACTGCACTAGATACTTCACGAGAAAGTGAGGAAAAGGCAACCTCACCGCCTTTTCATGTCAAAGTAAGGTCCACCGATTTTTAGCTGTGGGTAATATTGATTAGCTGTGGTGCAAAGGTTACCAGAGCAGAATAACACAACACTTTGATGAATGAAATGCAGGAGCAGAGTGACTGAGGAGAGGAAGTGAGGAAATATAGTAAATTAGGTGATAACCTTATCAAAACCAAAATAGTGGTTGATATCCACTCCACCATACTTTCAGTGATTATGACAACATGAGGCGACGTCAGCTCACTGCCATCTCATCTCTCCATGTTGCAGGTCGGGAAAGCTCCAAGAAAAGACTGAGCTTGTTTACTTTGCTTGCAGAAAATTCACTCTGCAACCATTAAAAAATAAAAATGAGATGGTACAGTTATCTAATTCCTAGTTCTCTGGCTTTGTGAATAAGTGAGTGTGGTCAAGACACTACAAAGTTATATTGGTGGTTGGATAACGTGGACTTGAAGGTTTTATTGATGTGCTCGGTCGCCTGATATCAAGCCACATGTTTTATCTATTTGATTTCATCTCATTGAATTAGCCTTTATGGACTTACTGCTGTTTCTGGAATTTTATCTTCTATGCTACAGGCAAAAAAACAATACTGTCCCACATTCTCATCCAAATATACCTCGAACAGTTTGCAAAACACACATTCCCACATGCACACTTTCCTAGTCTCCTTGTTTGTACTGCCCGATACAGATAATAATAATAATTCAAAATAATTCATCTTAGTGTCAGAGGTAACCAAACTGTGTCCTGACAATGCTGCTATGAGATGATAAAATGTCAGCTTGCTCCTGTAAGCAAACATTTTACAGCGCAATCATTTGTATGAGCCTGAATTTACAGCCCACAAGAAAAAGCATTAAAGTAAATCAACTGCATGATGCAAGGACACCCTCCATGAGGGCAGACCTGAATGCCAAGCAGATATGATATATAATGTATGGAGCGATGTGCACAGAGCTTGTTGAGCCTCTGATGTGTAAATGTAAGAGGGACAGAATGTTTATAAAAGTCTGTCAAGCATGAATCAAAGTGTGACAATACTGGGTGTGTTTCTAACCACAGAATCTTGAGCATGTTAGAGTTATAAAAGTACAGCTGGAGAAAGTTGCCAGAGATTGTCCTCAGTTTTCTCTTTCTCATGTTAACTTGCCCTAGAGGAGGGGTTTTGAGGGGATAAGGGACAGGAGGAGTGTCCTAGTGGGCTAGTGGGATCCTCCCCCAGAGTTGTGATTGGTTCCGGCTGTTGTGAGTGAGTCCAAATGAGGCCAGTAGGAAGGTGAGTGGTCTGGGAGCCTAATAGGGGGCAGACAGCAGCAGAGAGCTGCTGGCACTGCCTTTAAAAATCTAGGGACTCCTATTACAGCTACAGTCTGATAGACAGAGCAAGAGAGGGCTGGAGAGAGTTCTAAAAGGAAGACAGGGAAGGAGAGTGAGAACTTATTAACAGGAAAAGTTAGAAAATAAGCAGTTCTACTTGTGTGCTCACCCTTCCTTGACTACAGCTTTCCTACAACACTACCTGAGGCACACATACACACATACAGGGAGGTGTTTCATGGAGGGCTGACTCTCCAGGGAAGAAGGGAATTAAACTCTTTTGTTTTAAATACGCCGCATCCATACTCAGGAGGAAAAAAGGGGGATTACATCTTGTGCGCCTGCCCCACTTGTTCCTCTCCTCTCTCTGCATTTTGTCTTCACTGAGTTACTTTGGAGACTTTGGATACAACTTTCTTGAATTGTTGGTCTGAGCTCAGAGAGATATGGCGCACGGACAAAAGAGCCCCAGGTGGGCATTAACCCAGGGTTCTTTCAGCTTGGCACTGGGCCTGTCATTTTTCTCCCTCCTCCTTTTCCTCCTCACTGTTTCGGCTACAGATGAGTTCGATTACTACAGCTGGCAGTCGGACAACTTCCACAATGGTCGTTTCTACACCAAGCAGCCCCAGTGTGTGGACATACCAGCTGACCTGCGCCTGTGCCACAATGTGGGCTACAAGACGATGAGGCTGCCCAACCTCCTAGACCATGAGACCATGGCAGAAGTCAAGCAGCAGGCAGGCAGCTGGGTGCCCCTGTTGGCAAAACGGTGCCATGCTGATACCCAGCTCTTCCTGTGTTCACTGTTTGCGCCAGTGTGCCTGGACAGGCACATCTATCCCTGCCGCTCGCTGTGTGAGGCCGTGAGGAACAGCTGCGCACCAATGATGGAGTCCTATGGCTTTCCCTGGCCGGAGATGCTGACCTGCGATAAGTTCCCCATTGATAATGACCTCTGCATCCCTATGCAGTACACCGAGAACCACGTGACACCGCCAACAGGTAGGGCAGCTATGGGCACATGCATCCTCTCTGATAGGCACGTTTGTTCATTTACTCACAAGTTAAAAGCAACAACACACATAACAATTTAACAGGCGACAACAATATGAATAACCTACATTTAATATTTAACACTTCGTAAAGAAGTCATTATTCAGCAGATAAAATTGGTTTTTGGCCGCATGTTTGCATGGCATTTTTAAATTGTCTTTTCAAAATTTTTAATGTTATGTGACAAGATCAGTAATCACATTAACTTCAGTTTCTAGGGTGCCTAAACAAATATAACTTTAATAAAAGTCTTTCCAGCATAACAAGGATATTGTAGCTTGTTGTACTGATTGTTAATAACTTGTTCAAAACATTGATTATGTTGTAAAGACAGTTTTTAATTTGGAAGTATAACAAAAGGCAATATCAATACATCTGTTAAAAATGAAATTTGTCATTAAAAATGTACCTATTGCTGCATTCTGACTTATTTTGTGCAAACACAAATGGAAAAGTTATTTAAAAAAATATTAATGAAAAAATAATGAGGTTAGTTAGCTTAGTTTGTTTCTGCATTACAAATATCAGGACTTACAGTAGTGACATGAGTCACTAACAGCATCACTAAGACAGATGAGTCAGAAACAATGAAAGTCTGACAATGCCTGGGAGGCTCATGTGGTTTCCTCTCATGAAAGTTTAAGTCAGAGACAATCCAGAGGAGGTCAGCGAGGGAGAGGGGAGCATGAAGAGGCTACAGGGGAAGGTTCTTGAAAAGGTGGACAGTTCAGGAGTGCTCCCTTACATCTACATATGCCTCGGGGAGGGACTCAGACAGACTGAGAGAGACAGGAGACTGAGAGAGTCTGGTGGCCAGATCGCTCAGTGAGTTAAGATAAATGCACTGTGATGTTAAACACACCTTAACTGAAAGGTGACACACATGCACATGCATACACACACATGGCTTTATCAGTAAGCATCCGTCAAGAGCAAATCAGTCACACTAACAGAGAATGGAGAATGTCTTACTTTAAAGTCATGCGCACAAGTCACATGCATGGTCTGCACAGTGTCAGTAAATGAACGATTTAACCGAAGGTGGATGAAATAAGAAGAAAAACTACTACACAAAAAAAAAAAATCACATAAAAATGGAAGATAATGATTTTTAATCATATAGAATATAGGTTTTCAAAGCAGATGAGTAAAAGGACAGATGGGCCGACAGTGAGTAAGGTGAGTGGGAACTAAATACAGAGAAATAGATGTGTGTGCACCACAACTACTTAAGCAGCCTTTTCACAAAAGCAGTCAGCTCTGAGAGGGGGATAAAGGGAGTCAATGAGAGTCTTTAGACAGTGAAGGGGGACTGTCCCCACTGTGTCCCAGTCATTGTTGGGTCTGGCAGCCAGGAGGCCAATTAGCTAGAAGGCCAATTACTGAGCTCCCACTAATTAGTGGGCATGACCAAACAAGAGAGGCAGGGAGAGAATGGTAGCAGCTAAAGTCTGATTGTCCCTGAGAGAGCTGAATGGAGACAAGTGAAAGGAGAGGGAAGAGGGCGAGAGGCAGACGGCGTGTAGATGAGGAGAAAAGCTGCTTCCTGCAGCAGAAAAAGCGTCCGCCTCTCTGCTTTCAATAAAGACTCAAAGAAAAAGGTTTATTCTTCTCATTATTCCACTTCTTGCCTTTAACTATTTATCTCAATTTTTCATCTGCTTTGGTTGAAATGTTCCTTCATGGAGTTGTTATACAAATTTACTAAAGCATTAAAATGAAAAGCAATAATCGTTTTAGTCATATAAATCACAAGGACTTGTTTGACATATCTTTGCTTTTTATTATTAATGTTCACAGCAAAATAATATCGAACTATCTACACCATAATGACCAAAAGTGGAAAAAGATCACTGGCAGTTTCTCTAGTGAATTCATGCAGAACTGATTTATTCCATTAGGGAAATGGCTGTTGTGTAATTTTAGGACTTGTATCAACTATGTGACATTTTGGCTTTGCAAGGCTATAACTCGTTCTTTTACATGCTCCCTGAAAAGGAAGTAGGTTAAACTTCATCTGTCATCTCCTCCAACAGACAACTGTTTGTTGATCTTATCTCATCAAATAATGATCAGAAGCAAAACAGTTTACAGATAGTGACGTGAGATCAGTGCAAATATAGAAGGATCTTTGTTACTAAGCAATTAGACCAAACATGTTGAATAGAAATAAAGAATAAATGAAAAAATGAATATTGGTACATTTAAAAATCAATTCAGGGGCGTGCTTGTGTAAATGTGTGTGTGTGTTTTTGAAACTGAGGGTGAACCCGTATTACTTCTAGCCCGAAGGCCCAGTCACTGACATTTTGCTAAGAACCAGAGAGTCTCAGATGTGCCGATGAGGCCATCCCGAGGACAAGCTTTTACACATAAGCACCCACACAAACACATGTATGCACACACACACACACACACACACACACAGCCAGCAATAATAAAAAGACGTTTCAGCAAAGAACTTTAGAAGTGAATTTCCTGGAAACCCTCTTTGTTTGAGGACACAGATGATACTCTTCACACAGGATCATATGAGGATTCTTGAAGTAATCCAGATGAATCTCAGGGAGTTGGGTCAGTCATGTAAATTAAGCGCTGTTCTACCTGCTGCTCTCACTGTCGGGGTGGCCCCGGTGAAATCGGAGCTATTTTGCAATTACATGATATAGCACGGTTCGAGGGCTCCTGTGGAAACTAACAGTACAGAGTTAGATTCGATTTCCACCTCTCTGTCATAGCCGAACTAGAGAAGAACACCACCAGCACCTGAGCTCAGGCTGTGCATGCGGATGATTTATGTTATGTGTGTGTGTGTGTGCATGTGCTATAGCTCGTGCCTGCATGTGTGTGTGGTCATGGCTTGCGATTATATAAAATGCAAGTCTGTAGATGCTATACCAGGGAAAACACACAGACTGTTGACAAAAGAGGGCCCAGGCATCCACAGAACAACAAAAAAAAAGGCAGTCTGAGGTGGATTAATGATGCTACCTTCAAATCAGCAGTTATGCGGTTCTAAAAATGTAGGCAAGAGTGCACAGATGCCATAATTTAAATTGCATGTTTCTACAGAAAATGTATTTCAAGACATTATGCACATTGTCCAGTGAACATCTTTGAAAGTGTGTAGTATGAAAGATGTTGTCTGTCTTTGCCATGATGTGGCTAGGGTAAGTTACAACCATGGGTAAAGGAGACAGGCAGCACTGTCAGGTCCCCAGCAGCACAATGGGTGCTACTCATGTGGCCCTGGCTTCTATATGAAAGGGAAAATGTGATCCAATGTTGTGTGCATGGAAGACTGCCTAGACCTTTTCAGAATGTTATTTTCTCCTCTGTATAGGATTCCTATAGACGCAAGGAGCGTGCTGTGTTTTAGGGGCCCAGAGGGCTGCCTGCAGGCCATGTTTAAGTCCTCCTCTGTCTTTCTGCATGCTGCATTTAAACAGATGTTAGGCCCTCCAACATAAATCACACGCTGCATTTCATCGCCGGCACAATACCGTTTTATGTCATAAGTGTTGCTGCTCATAACTTAAAGGGCACAAATGAGGCATGAGATAGTGACCCACGCATACTTGAAACGGAAAGCTCTTCCCATAAAAGTCAGTGTGATGCTCAGGCTGCAGGGGATAAGGTCCAAGACCTGAGTCAGGATAGGATGACAGTATTGTTAGTTCTGGCTGTTTTACATGAACAAACACTGTGTGTGTGTGAATGTGTGTGTGTGTGTGAGACAGAGAGAGAGAGATGAAAAATGGGCAGAAGCATGTAACTTTGCACTTAATGAAAGTAATCTTCCACCCAACTATAAAATTTGTTATAGTGTTTGTGTTTTCAACAGAAGGCATGAGAGGGATTCTTGAATGTCTTTTAATGAATTAACTGGGACTGGCAAAGGCACTGTTGCTCTTTCAGTTTTAGTGATGACCTTCGCTTTATGTTGTTGAAAGTGCAAGTTAAATAAATGCACACCATAATTTTCTACTGCATCAAGTAATTACAGTACAACAAGCCTTCAGTTCCAAAACTATGCCATTATTTGGCTATTTACTTTTTACAATTAACTTCAAAACCATTTTCAAGCAAGTCTACTGTAATACTGAAGAGGTTCATTTTTGCATTTTGCTGCTCTTAATAAGCTTCCTAATTTGTTAAGAATAAGACTGAAACCAGGGTGTGTGAAAGGCAGGACAAAAAGACAATGAGAAGAGGACAAGACATAAAAGATACAGCAGGGGAGAGGGACTGAAATGGAGAGAGCAACATTAATCTCAACACTATGACCAAGCAAAGTTGTGCAGTTCATTTACAGGACTCTTGCCATACATCATTTCTTGCTGTTTGAAAATTAACAAGGCTTCCGCACAGACACCTCCCTGCTCACCCTGCTCCCATCATCCTTTTCCTCTTACATACAGTCATGGAGTCCCAGCCTCCTCATCCTCCACAACTACAGCTCTGTGTGACAATATTATAACCTTCTTCACTGTGATTTAAAATGCTGAAGTGTCTGTAATTGCAGTAACCCAATGAAGAAAATCTGCACAAAGAGTCTCGTCTAAAGACAACCAGAGAAGGAACATAGTTTTCACAGTTTAATCACATACAGTAGCATGGTAAAAACATTCTAATACTTCTTTTGAGATGATGGCAAAAATATATTAATGACCTCATGTCAAAATATTTGGTGAATACAAATGTCTCCAGGAAAAAGAATGAAATGTCATGAAGCCACGCAGCAGTGATCCGCACCAGAACAGTGAGGGCGAGTTCCCCGACAGGGACCAGAGTGGAATGAGGCCAGTCATCACTTAATTGATTTCTCAGCAGCATCCAAATGTTGCTTTTCGATCCAAGCTCAACTAAGTTTCATGGAGGTAGTGCTTTCTCCTAACACATGCTCTGGCTTCAGCACAGCTGGGCCTCCTCCCAACATACCACCCCTGTGAAACCAGAATGAATTACTGTGGAGTCTGAATAAGATGTAACAGCTTCAAGGGAATCATTCAGAACAAATCCAGAGTTTTGGCATCTCATGAGCTGTGTGTGTGTGTGTGTGTGTGTGTTTCCATGCTCCTGCACCAGTCTTCATGTCAGCACCAGACAATTAAAGGCCTGACCCTGTAGTCCTCACAGGTCTCCTGCCTGTGAAAGCATGGGAACCCTCGGAGGAGGAAAACTGGCAGGCGCTCCACAAGAACATGGTTCAACTCTCTCTGACGTCCACACACACACACACACACACACATACATACACTCATCGGTGGTTCGGGGGCTTACCTCCCCATGACCTGATCAGCGAAGCATGCTAACCTTTGACCCCTCTCATTATCTGGCCAGACAGAGAAGTTTGGGCTGGGGTGATAACCTTTGACCCCTGACTTTTAACCCAGGGGCTTGGGTTGCATTAGTGTGTGGTTGTAAGAATGAGGCAAAGAGGAAAAGAGAGAAGACAGTGAGCTTTTGGGGAGAGAAATTTGAATATATTTTGAATACTGTGGTAAGTGAATGACAGGAAAAAAAAATTATCTCCCTGAAAGAGGCTGCTTAGCCAGCAAAAGGTCAGTGGTGTTTTCCTTTCAGACAAGTTTTGTCTAATCATATTTCTCTGCCCTGGAGGTATACATTTGAGTGGGGAAGATTTCTACACCACATCCTTCTCTTTCTGACTCCTTAAATTATATCTTGTTCTCTTGACTGGCCCATGGCTGTGTTGTGGATGAGTGGAGTGATATTAGATGTGTACAGCCAAAAGCTGTCTAGATTACATGTAGTTTATGCAATAATTATCATAATAAAGTTTTATATTTAAGAGCCTTTGGGTAAAATTGCAAGGAAGGATCAAGCATGTCCGTGTGTGTTGGACAAAAAAGGAGACAGGGCTTTGAAAACAAGTTTTATAAGTAAAATGGGAGAAACGATATTTGTCATGATAATTGGCCAGACTTCTGAATTTACGGTTATGCTGTATACATAAAGGTACTCATGCAGAAACAACAATTAAAAGAAGACTTCATGTACTGCTTCTGTTTTTCATGTTTATTTTCCAGTGTATGCACACAGAGTAGCAACAATCAAATCACAAATCAGTTGCTAAAGCGAAACATGCTTTCGAGCAAAGCAGGCACAGCCACACATTTCATCGTAAAACTAAACTGAACTTGTTGCTTTGGTTTTCCCATGCTGTTTCACAATGTTTGGTTGCTGTGTGGCCTAAGTGTTTGGTTGTGTCTGTATGCTGAATCACTCTTTACCACGTGGAGCTGCTCCCGATGCAACGTTTACCTTTCTACACAGCCAAGACCACGCCTGCACCACCAAAATATACAGCGGCCAAAATAAAAACGGCTTCTCCAGTGTAATTGCAGGGCAAACATCAGTCAGCCTGCTGGACCATATATTCACGCCGCAGCAAATGACCTCTGACAAGAAGAGTGGGGCTGCAGAGAAGTGCCTGAAAGGTGCTTAGGGCTTAACGGTTTACCACTGACAAGGCTTTGGTTTTGCTGGCTGAACCAGACTAACAATGACCACAATTCAGCCATTAGTTATTAGCTAATCTGACCTTAACAGCACCAACTGAAGTGTGATTTTATTTTGGTAATAACCCCCCCTTTTTTTTTTCTCCAGTGTCGAAGGTGTGCCCTCCATGTGACAATGAGCTGAAAGCAGACAATATCATGGAGCATTACTGCGCTAGTGACTTTGGTAAGTACCAGCAATTAAAAAGAGTGAGACATGCAAATGGTTCAGTTTCATGAGCTAATAATCCCATGAGGGGGGAAAAAGATGACACAAGTACAATAAATGGCATCAAGAACATTGTAGAAAATTGTTTTGTCTTGGAATTTGAGAAAGTTACACTAAAAGCTTTACGGCAGTTTATGCTTTTAACCCATCCACCACCAGTATTCTAGTAACATTACTTTTTGTATGCTAGTCAAAGTACTAGCTGGACTACAACTGCTACATTTCTGGTACTCATACACACATACCACCAACATTAAAACATTATGCAGACAATTCTTTATCAGCATGAAAAGTTATGGATTTTCTAAAAGTCTTAGTTTTTAAAAAGAAAACGACACTGACACCAGAAAACATTAAAGATACGGTGCAATGTTAGCTTTTATTGTTAGTTTAAAGGTACGTTTTTGATAGATTAAAAAAAGGTTCCTGGCTTTATGATTTACCTGTGTTTTGTTAGGCTGCAGATGTGTGCAAATATTTATAAGAAATGGTCAAACTGAACACGGACATGAACAGAAAGGACACACACTAATGTTGCACTATTCCCTCTGACAACAAAACTCTTTCCTTCTTATAAATTAATTTAACAGCTTCCAGTCACCGCTGTCCATTCAGTGCCAGTTTCTAAGCTTTATATTTTCCAGTTTCACCACAGTAACGGCCTGCGCACAAAGCCAGAACATAATTATTCTATTGTTTCTTTCTCATCGAGACTTTTGGCCCATCCTTCTCTGCAGCAGCTCAATTGCTGCTGGTATGCACTATTGCCCCAGTCGTTTGGAGTTAATGATATACTGCTTTGTAATGTATCTGGTCGGATTCTGAGCATTCAAGTAGAAACGGTGACCAAAAACACTCATAACCTTGGGAGACTCATGAAGAACATGGCTTATGTTGCTGAACAGATGAGTGAGAACTGAAAATGAAGTGTGGCCAGACTGGTGCTTAAAACCATATCTTTACAGTGTAGTGTCCAAAGAGGTGATGTCAGGAGACAAAGTGTCATCATCTATTTTCTGGCAATTCTTCACACCTCCTCCACCTCCAAAATGTTATGGACATACAGAACATGACTCCATTATACAGTAAATCAGCAATTAATAAACGCTCAATACATAGCATCCATCAACAACAAAATACACATTGCTCACACTGAGCTGCAGCCAAAATGTAGACTCATCCCCTATAATTCATTTCAGCATACACATTTCTATTATTTAACTTGAGGGTGTTTCAGAGATCAGACAGCAACACACATTCTGTTCATTAGAATGACTCATGATTGCACATGACAGCAGAAAGCCAGACATTCTGCTGGTTATGAATGTATGTGAGATGTTCATATGAGACGTGAGTAGAGAAGTCAAGATAACTGTGGTATATGGATTTGGAGATCAAGGCGAGAACGGCTCTACAGTGTTATGTTATAGGGCGGTGACTGACTGCAGCTGGATCTCACACCTCATGAATGTTGTTACCTATTCATCTTCTGACCCCTTTCACCCTCAAAGTATCTAGAACTTCATGTTTCGCTACAGGCTACTTTAGATCTCTGATCTCGCCACATTCCTTTCTGTACCATCCAGCAGCATGGTACAAATGACAAGTGTGTAAAAGAAAAGGAGCCGTGATGTGTGTGTCTGGCAGGGTGCACAGCAAACACCTGGTTGGTATCATAGGAGGAGGGTTGCCTTCTAAATAAAGCCTGCTTCTCCTCAAAATGACAGCGCATATCTCTCTCCTTTTCTTTTCATCTGCTTCTACCTCTGCACCCCCTGTGCTCATTTTAAAAATCATGAGATAGTATAAAGACATGTGCACATGTAGTCACAAGGATCCAGGCCAGGCGGCACGGTACGTCGCTGCTGGAGCACTTGTGACTGACAGAATATGGGTGGGCATTCAAAGTGCAGCAAAGAGGGAAATTATTGTAGCTTTCCTATCTTTGCTGAACACACACACACACACACATATATGAATGCACTCATTCACAGAAGTGCACACACACTCAGGTTGGATCAGGATGCAGATGAGATGTAACTCAACACACACATTCCTTCTTGAACATGCTATCAACTTGCATGTACTGTATACTGTATGTATTGGTGTACTGAGGGATGTTTATGCAACTGTAGACAAGCAGGCAAGAAGTGAAATGGCGGTTTTCCAAAAGGTTCGGGTACATAGCAGCTCTTCATACCGACCCTGCACCTTTGCCCAGCACATGATTAATTTCACCTGTCAAAATGTTCACCCAGAGAATTCCTCTCTCAAATGCTTAGACATTCAATTTTAATCTCTCTCATAAAAAATATTAACTTATAAACATGTGGTTCAACAGGAAATCCAAGTCAGTACCTGATTAACTAACCAATATACTGAAAACAGTGCACAGGGATGACCCGCTCTGTATTTTTGCTTAAAAATACACAAATGCACAACATCCCAGTGGAGAAACACAAAAGTTAGAAAACAGATTACATTTGATTTCAGTCAAAATCAAAGTGACTAGCTCATCGGAACATGAAAAAATATGTATTTATATTTGGAGGCAAACTTAAGTCACAAAAGTAAGGACTAAAAAAAACATTTAAGTCAAGTTTTGAGCGGCAATGTCACATAATGAGCAGCACTTAGTAGCTAAAAAAACACATCTTGATTTGCAATTTGCCAAAGCTAGCTTGTGATTTTACTTGGATTTGCATTAAATGGCTTAAAAGTTTGGTTGTAAATCCAAACATGTCCTGATTTTGGTTAATGGGTTTTCCCCACATCTGACACAAACGTACACACAGGATGCTGTTTGTGTATGCTGCAGGAGAGGCTAAATAATGATACTCAGGAGAGGAGTAAAATAGCTGCTTCTCTGGCACAGCTCAGAGCTCAGTGTTGGTCATACAGAGAATAAATGTCACAGCTGGTCAAAGTATAAGGGAACAGGGAAGTAAAAATGACACTAACAGTTTGTGTGCAAATATCACAGTTTTATATAATCAAAGTTGAACTGAGAAAATGTCTGTCTCTTCCCTCAGTCCTCAAAATGAAAATCAAGGAAGTCAAGAAAGAGAAGGGTGACCGGAAGCTGATTGCAGCACAAAAAAAGAAGAAAGTGCTGAAGCAGGGCATGCTAAGGAAGAAAGATCTGAAGAAATTGACCCTGTACATCAAGAATGGTGCCAACTGCCCCTGCTCCCAGCTGGACAACCTGGGCTCCAACTTCCTCATCATGGGCCGCAAAGTGGACCAGCAACTGCTGCTCGTCTCCATTCACAAGTGGGACAAGAAGAGCAAGGAGCTAAAGTTTGCCATTAAGTACATGAAGTCCCACCAGTGTCCCACCTACCACACCGTCTTCCAGTGATGTGGCCCGCTGTACTGTTCACAGAATCCATGATCACTCTAGACACTCCACAAGTGATCCTAACTCTCATCTCAATAAACTGTTTCCAAACTCCAGATTTCTGGGAAATCTATTATCAGCCCATGACATAGTCCTATAAGGGGTTGCAGGGTGGTCAAGCTTTTATTTAGTCAGCTTTAATATGAATCAGGTAGTCAAGGGGGCCGTTCTGATCTGCTTAGATGAATCATACATGTTAATGTTGGAGAGCCACAAAGCAGAAGCGCTGTCCGAATAATAAAAGTCCAAAATAAACACAGATCTTAGAACAGTTAGGGTGACATCAGTTACTTCCTAAATAAAAGACATTTTGATCTACTCCCTGCAATTTAATAGAATCCTCATTAATCCTACTTTCTTTTACTGATAGTGTAGAACCAATCAATTGCATGATATCTTACAGAAACATTAATAGTATTAAGAAATGGGAAACTACAGATTTGAGACAACTATTGGACGTGAAGTGTATTTGGCAATGTAATGACTATAGACAAAGAATGGAAAGGGATGGTTGTTTGTTTGAAAAGACCCAAGAGTATGTGGGCTGTGCAATGGGCCAGCACACATGCTGGCACAGAGCTCCCAGGAACAACATCAAAGCAGAGAAATGTAGGTAATCCACTTATTTTTATGTTTTAGTAATGTAAATAAATAGGTAAGTCAAATGAATACTAGACAATTAGAAAACTAGGCTTTTTCTCCTTTTATACCTGCTGGGAAAGAAAAATGGAGCAAGAGGGGGTGACAGACTGGATGATCCTTCCACTGACTGTACAGCACAGTGTTTTTGGGCCTAGAAGAGGGAAACTTGAATATTTTTTTGCTTTGTGAAATGGAGAGATATCGAGGTTAAGGCAGAGAAGATCTTCCTGAAAGCAAGTGAAGAACAAAAGGGAAAGGAGAGAAAAACAGACTCTGGACAGAACCAACAGTGTTGGGTTGATACGTCTCTGGTACTTGCTATATTTCACTATCACTCTTTTTTTTTTTTTGCTTCAGTTAAACTTTTATGGCATGAAAGCAGAAATCAGACATACAGACATAGCTCCTGAATTCACTGTTGTCATAGCAATAAAAGATCAAAAATTAACTTTGACAATATTTCCTTCTCAGTTAACCTCCAAGTAGTTCTGTTACTGAAATGCATCTTTGCTTTACAAAAATGTTAAATAAAATAGTTGAAATTTTTATAAAGAACGTCTCTTTGAAATGTGATCTTTCTTTATCACTGACACACACTCATGAAAAAAATCTTTTGACTTTATAACCTGTATAAAACGGCTGCTTGGTTGATAAAAGTACATACACAGTGTGTATACACACAATATTTAGTACACAGTACAAGTTTAATTTTCCATAAACCCGAAAAGCCATAAAACCTTTTCTGCATTTTTCAACATATTGTAGAAAACACTCCACTAATTTTCCATTTAGCAACCCAACAGTTGAAAAAAAAAAAATCTAAGTAGAAATCTTTATTTCACATTGATCTGAAGAACAACAAATACAAATTCCTTTTAAGTTACGCTGAAATTGTTGTGGAAAATTGAGCATAGTGCTGCAGTGTAAAACAAAAGGTACATAAAATACTGTCAGAGTGCACATGGTGCTGCAGCTTCATTTCTCCTTCCAAAAGGAGGAAAGCGGTGAAACCGGCCTGTACAATGTCTAAATTGCCCAGATCCACACACTAGGCCCTCAGCTTTACAGAGCCTGGCCTACAAAGCCACCAGTATTTAATGCTGAAGCATAAAGGGTGCTGCAGACAGACACCAGGCTGCAGTGTAACCACCCAACTTTATCAAAACCATCCCGGTCCTAATCACTCCAGACGCACACATGAGCCACTGCAAAAAAAAAAAAAAAAAAAAAAACTGAGCACCAGTGGAGTGATGACCTATTTCTATGGATATGGTGCACACTCTGTTTCTAGACTGTAGAATGGCAGATACAGGAGCAGACAGGGGTAATGGGTAGAACTGTGCTGGGACACCTTTATCAGAGAACACTGAGCTAAAAATTTTAATTCCATATAGGTGGAGATGGCTTTCTTGGAGCTCTCCTTCGGAGAAGAACCAGCTCCCATGCAACAGATTACATCTGGTCTAGTGGAAAATGAGTCGCTTTCATAAAACAAAGATGTGGTAAATCATTGAGCTCAAAGTGGAGGAAGACAAAAAAAGTAAGGTGACAAAAGGAGCCAGGGGAGAAACTCAGCTGGGTCCCACAGACACCCATCAGCACCTTCACAAAGGTCACGTAGTGTAGTTAATAAATAGCTGATGAAGGACCAGTGACACACAAAAACACACGTGTTCCAGAAAATATGACCACAAGCCATCTCACTTTCCTCCAGTGAGACTTCAGCTCAAACACATCAGTTCCATGAAACATTTGTGCACACTTTACAGAAAAATAATGCAGAGGGCATCGTCACCATATAAACACAAACGGTAAAAGAATGGTTGCATTGTCTGTTCTTACTGCAGTGTGTTGATGAGCAGCTCGGTTTCACAGCTGAATAGCCATCAGCTGTGCACGAGCACACACACACCCACACACACACAGTAGAAAATATTCAGCCTAATAAGTTATCCTGTACATTCCAGGAGTTAATGCTGGATTTGTGTTTTCATTAAACATACTTTTCCTCACCCACCCACTTGTTCGACATAGGCTCGTGATTTTCTACGCTTCTTGTGACAAAACCCAGAGATGGGCGTGATCAGCTTACAACCACTGTTTTCAGTATTTGAGAAAAATATTTTCCTTGTGTGATTAAGTTCATTTGGGACATGAACTAATGAGTCCTGAATGTAAGCACTGGAAATCAGATTTAGGCTACATTATTTATTTTTACACATACAAACATTGAAATCTCTTTCAACCTCAAATCTGTTTATCAGTGAAGTTTTATTTCTTTATAAGTTACGAACAATGAAGATTGAATATTCGCTGATCAAATATTGAATATTAAATTTTGTAACTTTACTCCAGTTTTAGCTTCAGGGCATGGTGGCGCAGTGGTTAGCGCTGTTGCCTCACATGCAGCTTAGGTTGATTGGTGTCTCTAAATTGCCCATAGGAGTGCGTGCGTGCGTGTGTGTGGTTGTTTGTCTATGTGTTAGCCCTGCGATTGGATGACCTGTCCAGGGTGTACCCTGCCTTCGCCCGATTGCCAGCTGGGATTGGCTCCGTGACCCCATTCAGGGACTAAGTGGTAGAAAATGAATGACTGAATACTCTAGTTTTCAGGATGGATGGAGAGAACATTACAGATAAGTCTGGAAGGAGGCCTTTGCTCTTTGATCATGGGCAAATGACAAAAGCCTGACATTGACAACAAAAACAGGAAAAGATGCCTTTAGGTAACAAACTGTTGCCAGAGTTTATTCATTTAAAAAAGTAGATTCAAAAGATCACTTTACTAGTTTAGATAAAGTGATTTTATCAAGAGAAGCTGGAATTATTGTAACAGTTAAAACATTTATTGTATGCAGATGTGAGCATGCAACCACACAAACACACACGCATGCTAACACACTGTAAATATTAATTAGGTTTGACTAGTCTACCTCAACAGAAAGAGACCATTATATAAACTCTGGGAGAGTCAGAAGAATTTATATTAGTTGCCGCGTGACTCTCTTTACCCAACGCACCAGGTGCTATTAAAACAGCATTAGACAGTAAGCCAACATCCTCTTGGTCTGACCCACTAGACCACCTGTCTGCAGGAAGAGAGGACTGGAGGAAGAGAGCGAGGGTGGAAACAGCCACACTTTGACAGGACTGGACTGGTTCCGAGCCTTGGCCTGCTTTGCTCACTACAATGCATTAAATATGTTGTGTTTTATGGTGTATGTGTGTTTTGTGAGCATGTTTGTGGATGTGCATAAGTGTGCCATGTAGACTCCCTTTTAAAAGGTCTAGAGCAAGCCAGGGAGTCATTTTGTTTCCATAAAAAAGTCTGAGAAACTTTCCACATGTGGTACACATTCAGTACATTCCACACAACTCTTCTCATTTACATGTAGTTTTGCTTGAGCTTAAAAAAAAAAAAAACAGGTTCAGCTACATTTTGTTAGTAATGATGAATATTAATGATCAACCTGGATTGAGCCATTCACATGTGGACTATCCACTGCCCAGCCACTTTAATAGGTACACCCGTACAATTATGTGCAATTCAATTCAACATTTCCTCCTTAACATCTGTGTTTATGAAGCTCAAAATGTTTGTTTTTGGTGAATGTTTCATAAATTATCATTTCAATTATATGTTTATTATTGAGTTCATAGTTAAAGGTGGTGTTGTCCTGGACTACATTACATTTTTATCCTCCCCAGCTACACAGTACATGAGAGAGTGCGACAAAGTGGGTAAGAACGTTCCCTTTCGTCCCCAACTCTTTTATGTACATTTCTCAACTTTTTAAACAAACTTGTTAAATGCTAGCTTAGCCAGAGTTCACCTTTTAATGTGTAATTATGCAAACATATACTGTCCCAGGTTTGTTTGTGCTAAGCATTATGTTATGTTACAATTATCACTATTATTTTTGGTTAAAGTAAAATACATACAAGCACTGTTCAAGTCTAACTGGAGCTTAATGATTTGGTAAAGAGTGTTACAAGTGAATTTGTGGTTTTGGTTATACTCACCAGGGGTTTGGAGGAGGACGCACCTAAGATCATCCTCATTTTATACACTCTCTGATGTCATCAGTGATTTCACAGGGTGAGTTAAGTAGGGAGGTGGGGATTATTAGTGTTAAGACAGTTTTGTGTGTTGATTAATAATTTATAAGTTGTATGGTTTGAGAATTGTTTGTATGTCTTAAAAATATGTGATTTGGTTAAACGTTATTTGATAAAAGTAACTTTGGAGAATTGTCTTGTGTGAGGATGGAGGTGTTGATCAACCTGTAAGAGATAAGAAGTGGTGCAGTCTGAGGGAAGGTTGACTCAGATGGAAGTGCAGCTGTGTGTGTGTGTATGCATTGTTAATTTAAGTTGTGTTATTATGAGCTGAGTTTTGGAAGCTGAGTTATGTGAAGTTAACTATTTGGTTGTTTTATGGATATTCTTTTGGTACATACAGTATGTATTATGGTGGCATGCTTGTAAATAAATCACCTATTTTGAACCCTAAGATGGTTCCTACCATTTTTTTTGCCACTTTGGCCAGATCTACCACATTTGGTAGCAGCGGTGGAATCTACGCCTGTAGGAGGCAGTGAATACAAATGTCAACCAGTCAAAAGAAACCGCAAACAACTGACAACAATCTGAATTATGTGATGGCCACCAACAGCAAGAGACTGCAGGTAGGTGAGACCAAGAATCAGAAACTGGTGCTGAGTTTTCAAGTCTGCATATGTTTCCATGCTGCATATGTGATGACACCACAGACTATGTAAAGTAAAAGGTGCTGTTCTACCACAGAGGGTGAGAATATTAGGAACACCTCTAAATATAATGTAGTCCATTACAACACTTCATTTAACTACGACCTCAATAATAAACAAATCATTGAATTTATACATGTATGACAATTTCACCAAAAACTAAAACATTTTAAGTTTCATAAACAAGCAAGAAGTATTGCTTTGAATTGCACCGGTGTACCTAATAAAGTGGCCTGGCAGTGGATAATCACTGCTCTTCAGAATCAAAGAGATAATTTGCTGCTCTCTCTGGCACCTTTACATTAACACTAAATGTATCATTTTGCGCTGTGTCCCACACTGACTCAGTGATGCACTAACACTGTGACAGTGACATTCAAAGCACATCTGCTAGACAGTTGCACTAGGGTGATGAGATTAGATTCCCAGAATACACATATGCACAACACTGACTTGGAGGAAAAGACGGTAGAAGGACATAAGAGGCTAGAAGAAGAATGACTGAGAGAAAGGACTGGATAAGAAAACACCCAAGATGCTCTCAAGAGACTTTGGCTCTTGGAAACAATCACACTGGCCTCAGTGACTCCTCTGCAGTGGAAAATGGATAAATTAATAGGTGGAGTTGAAGACCCCCTGTGGGCAAGGTCCTGAAGCCATCTGTGAAGGCCATCAGCATGTCCCAAACCGGCCGTTTCCCTACTGAACCAACATGTCAGTCTGAAGATTTAAAAC